ATTTTTCCGATCGTCCCGCGTGAATAAGGGGAGAATTTATGGCGACGGTAGTTGAGCGGCGCGTAGTCGTGACCGATGTTAATGCGCGCTCGAATATAAGCGGGACAGTTAACGTTAATGCGGCCGATCCGGAGGACTACGACGCTCTCTCGATCGTTTATGAGCGCAACGGAACGCCCGGAGTGGAAAATTGACGGGTGGGCTCCTGCATAAGTACGTACGTACCGGTGGCGTGCGCATACTTGATCAACTCCGTCGTCGTAAGTATATCGGGAATCGCGGGAGGTAAGAGAGAGAAGGGCAGAACGGACGTCGTGGCGTTTCCAGAGCGATTTAACGGCGCGCGGAAATATTCATGCATTTAAATAGTACGATCGATGCGCGTCGCGCCAGACGCGAGATTTTGACGAGCGGCGGATGGTATTTCGAGAGAGAACCGCCCGGGTCACAATGCCCCATTTCCTCGCTCGTCGCCGAAATAGACGGATTTCTGCAATCGCGAGCGCCGAATAAAGCCTTTGACGACGGCCATTTCCGAAAGTGCTCCTACATCTTTGAGAATTTCGCCGAAAGAGAGTTGAGAAAGGAAGGGAGAGAGAGAGATAGATGGATAGATAAAGAGAGAGAGAAAGAGAGAGAGAGAGAGATGAAAGGCTTCGTATTCGCGACACGCCATTGCGCGATGCATCAAACGCGAAACAAATTTGTGTGCTGCGCGGCGTATTGTGATGTCATAAGGTATCGTAAGCGACGTTCTCGCAATCCTCCTCTATTCTGGCAACGGTGTACTCGCACGTTCATCTCGTGGGATGTAATCCCGCCGGCAATGACATTTCCGATACACGCAATAATGCGAAAAGACATTTCCACGGTGGCGATTCGATTCTCGACAGCACATACTGATACTGGCGGTACGTACAAACGGAGTTCGAGCTAGATATTATTCGGCACTCGATATCTTTGCCGTGAGAGAGTGATATATATATTCGTCGGAGAGAAAATATAATTAGCTTTTCGTACCAAGTATCTTTGTACTCGCGTGCGGATCTTGCTGCTGTACCTTCGCGATTCGTTGCATTTATGATTCGTTCGCGACGGCGTACGCATCATCTTCAGTTTAAATTCGGAAGATTAACAAACAGAGACAGATATTTCCGCCGTTTAACGGCTTTTTATAGCATTATATTATTTAATTTCGCATGGGGCGCGATGCGAAATTAAATAATAAATTATAAGTGTATTTTCACGTTCATCATTCCAAGTATCTTTTATACGGTACTTTGTAATACGTATCTTCCCCACAGCATCAATTTATAATAGGATACCGCGATCGGGAATAAATCATGATGCTGCGTCTGAGCAGCGCAGCGGAATAATATAAAAATACAGTGATTAATTAAACGAAACGAATCACGCTGGGGAGGATATTACGTCATAAACCGGCGAAGTCGAAAAGTCGCTTCTCTTTTATACGCCACGAGCCACCGATCGTGTCGCTTGATTAACCAAAAAGCCCGATATACGGCCGCTTTATCGATGCATTAACGGCAATGCAATCTGCGCTTTATACTCACGCGCTCGGCTATTCGCGCGAGTTTGTGGTCGAGGAAAAAAGGGGGCGGCGAACAGCCGACAAAATATGACGCTTATACGAGGGTGGATCAAATATAAACGATCCTTTTTAAATTGCGCGCCCGTCGGCGGCGTGAGGGGTCTGCGTTTTGGACAGTGGAAGGGGATCATGTGGAAGGCAGTAATAACGTTGGGGCGCCACGTGCTTCTTACTCTCAGCAGCAATCACGATGAATGAGAAAGAGGTACACCCCGCAGTTGCACAACGTGTTATTATTTAGTTTCTCGTCAGCGAAAATGTAAATGCTGCTGAAATTCGGCGCGGTTTACTCCCACAGTTCGGAGAAAGAACCTTTTTCATGAGCTCGGGTGAAGCAGTGGTGTAACGAATTTAAGAAAGGACGGGAGCCTGTTGAAAACATTGCTGCCGTTCCCGCACGAGCATCACGGCGCAGAATACCGAGGCTGTTCGAGAACTCATCGAAGGCGATCGGTACTTAACTGTTCTTGAAATCTCTCAGGAACTTCAGTTCGAGCTGCCTATCGGTCAAAGAGGCACGGCATTCCTATCAGAAGTGTGTTGCTTCTCTATAACAACGCCAGACCCCAAACCACAGCAGTAACACAACAAAAATTGGCCGATATGCACTGGGCTGTCCTAGAACATCCACTCTACAGCTCAAATCTGTCACCATGCGACTTCTATATGTTTGGGCCACTCAATGAAGCCCTTGATGGACAGCGCTTCACAACGAACGAGGAGTTACAGCAGTTCGTGTGCAATTGGTTTGATACACGTCCGCCACCTTTTTATGGTACCGGGATTAAAAAATTACCAGACCGTTGGAGGAAGTGTATAGATAAGATGGGAGACTATGTAGAAAAATAAGAAAAATGTAAATTAGAATTGGTTTTAAAAAATATATGGTTTTCTTGCAAAAAGCTCGTTTATATTTGATCCACTCTCGTATTCGGTCGCCATCAAATCTATATACAATCGACCGGAATCGAAAATCGAGAAATTTGCAGAGATTCGGAGTCGTTATGAAGAATCTCGCACAAATTTACTTATTTACTAAAACTTACACACGTATTAGGTAATTAAGTATGAAATGTCCGATTATCTCAAGTACCAAGTTTGATACCCGATATTTCTGATATTTCACTTTGACAATTCTTTGTTTTTTTTTATTGTGAAGGTACGTCATCAGCCTTTCAGATGCACGTTTTGGTTTGTAATTATCTGTCGAATTGTCTTTTGCAGATTAAATTTTGTAAACCATGGATAAGTAAAAAATTCGCGTTATTTTTGAATATGAATTCCGACGTGGAACTAATAAAGTGCAGACAACTCGAAGTGTCAACGAAGTGTTTGGCAAGGGTGTGGCTAATGAACGCAAAGTACGTCGATGGTTTGAGAAGTTCCGATCTTGCGATTTTGATCTTCAAAATGAGCCACGTGGGCGACCTAAGAGCAAGGTGGATAATGATGAGCTGAAAGCTGCAGCGGAAGCGGATACATCTCAAACTACGCGTGAATTAGCAGCACGGTTTCACGTTACTATTCCAACAATATTAAACCATTTGAAGGTAAGGTAATTCATTCATCGGTAAGGTTAAGAAGCTGGATAGATGGGTTCCGCATGAATTAAATGAGCGTCAGAAAAGAAATTGTTTCGAAGCTTGCCTTTCTTTGCTGTTGCGACATAAAGGCGAACCATTTTTACACCGCATTGTTATGTGTGATGAAAAATGGATTCTTTTCGACAATCGCAAGCGTTCGGCACAATGGTTGGATAAAGATGAAATGCCAAAACACACCCCGAAACCGAATATTCACCAAAAAAAGTTAATGGCGTCTGTTTGGTGATCCAGCGCTGGTGTTTTCCACTACAGCTTCATAAGGTCAATCGATTACGGCGGATGTCTGCTGTAACCAATTAGACGAAATGATGAGGGAACTTGAGATTAAGCAGCCGAGATTGGTGAATAGAGACAGGCAAATCCTCTTGCAGGACAATGCTCGACCATATGTCGCACGAATAACGTTGCTCCAATTACAAGAGCTAAACTTGGAAACTCTCTGTCACCCACGGTATTCCTCAGATCTTACACCAACTGATTACCATTCCTTCCAGGCATTGGGCCACTTCTTGCAAGGAAAAATATTTAATTCCCAACAAACTGTAGAAAACGCTTTTCGCGATCTTATCACCACTTGCTTTCCAAACTTCTTCGCTGCCGGCATCAACAAGCTACCGTTAAGATGGCAAAACTGTCGGCAAAATCGATAGTTTAGGCGCATACTTTAATTAATTATACTGCTTCTTGTTCGAAATCGGACATTTCATACTTAATGACCTAATAATCTCTTTATCGTCTACCGTCTTTTATTTTTTATAATTTACGCAAAATTTTTTCACAGAAATAGACATTCGGTTGGTACTCGAACGAGCGACGTTTTTCTCCTCGTTCTTTCCGTATTTGCAATTCCACGAAATATCGGATTATGAAAAGACCTTATACAATATAGACTAACGTGAGCTGGGACTTGGTGGATCCCCGATGTTTAATTCCGATCGCTTGTAATTCAAAATCTACCGACACCTCGATGATGCAGGGCAGCGCTTGTCTCGATGCGGTAGTCTCGACTCGAGTTTCTCGACTCGCCATTCCGACAGCACCCCGAAGATGTTTCGCGTATGAAGATTCTAAATGGTCGAACGATCGATAACTCATTCCTCGGGACAGGTCGCAATTTGCAGTACAATTTGGCGTACAAGCATTTCGTTTCGTCGTGAATTTAATCATCGCGTCGACCGACAGCACCGAATTACGGCGCGCCTCGGCCCGAAATTCGTGCGCCGCTTTCCCGTCCGAAGAATTTTTATTCTGACGTCACAATTAATTCGAGCTGATTTACGAGGACCGGGTACAGGCGCGTGCGCCCGTTTTATTCGCACCCTTTTATTCTCATTCAAACTATCCGCGCTCGCTTAATGAAATATAATTTGTCGTCGTCGGAGAGTTCCACGTCGGCCGGTTATAAATAACGGAAACGCTTTATCGCGAGGATATTAAATCACTGCACACCCACAGGCACACATATACACACGTACATACACACACGGACACACATGCAGGTATACACCTTCTCGATCTCTCCCTCACCCTGTCGCCGTCTTTCGACCGGCGTTTCGTCGCGCGGTAATTCGCCGTAATAACGACGAATTTCCCGAATTTTTCGACGCCGGCGAACCGATCTCAATGGAATTCCCTTTTTCTTTTTTCCCTTTTTTCACCGTAACGTCCGGCTTTAATCTCGCTCGCCGCGCTGCGGCGCGGGAAAAATGTTAAAGGCGCATTCTTTATGTGCGGGGACTGGCGACTTTTTTTTTTAATATGTACCCGCGTCGATTCTGTTTCAGGATCCGGCATCAAGGTGCCGATGGCCATCCTGAATTGCCTCTACGCCCGCCAATTGTGCTTCGAGGACCCGTCGTGCAGCGCAATTTTGGAGATTATACCGAGGGTCTGCGGTCCGGAATTAGGTGAGTGAGTGAGCGAGCGGGTGGATACAGGCGGCTCTCGCCTTTGCGCCGACTCGGCGAGGAAATAATTATTTAATCACTATCGTCGATAATTAATCGTTAATTGTACGTCATTTATGCTTCGATGTTAACCATGCGTGGTTAATTGAGATTTTCAATATTGGTTTAAATTCAAATTAATGATAACCGGATCAGTGATAATCGAGGTTCGTTATGCGTTATTATCATACAGTTAATTGTAGATGTGCAATAGGTCAGACATGTAATTTTAATTTGTATTTGCTGAATTTTAATATTGGATATAATATGTGATTTTCGACGATTTCGATCAGTTGCTCCTATCCGGCCGGCTTCTGCCGATCGGGAGAACGTATTTTCTGAACTTGCGACGGGGAGTGTGTACGCTTACAATTTTTTTCGCGCAACGATATGATAATTTATGATAATTCGCTCGATATTTAATTTAATGATTGCAATTTCTTATAAAATCACTTTTTTATGGGATTAATTTTAATGATGAGGTAATAACGCATTAAGAAATTACATAGGATAATTCTTACAGACAATTAGATCTGATGGAAAAGAAAACTATGAAAATCCTCTTCACTTGACACTTGTAGATAATCTTGAAACGAGAGAGAAAGAGAGAGAATGAGAGAGAGAAGGGAGAAGAGAGGGTTAAACAATCAAAACTTAAGACTTACATGCGAATGCTTTTTTATTTATGCGATGCATTATTCACGCGGATTATATTGGTAATAATTTACACAATGCCGAATCGCTATAATGCGCGAGTCGATAAGTCGGGAAGTCCGTGGGAGAAATAAAAGACGCGATCGGATGCGATTCGGTCGTCCCGCAAAATAGAAGCCGAGGAATTCGTTCCGCCGGTATTGTTCCCTCCATTTTTATTTATATAATCCATTATTCATGCCCCCGCCGAACAAACATGGCGTTGGGTCTTGCCGGAAAAATGAGGTATAATTCGGCGCAATCTGTCGTTACCGGCAAAACCCCCGGCGAGAGCTTTAATTTTCTATAGATCGTGCAATGTTTATCCTCGCGTAATACATTATTCATACTGTCCACCTTGTAATAATCATGGCTCGTAATGGGTCGCACATGATTCGTAAAATCTCGCATTAGTCCATGTAAAATAAAAGGCGTCTCATCGCGAGCGCGACGCCGTCACATTTGAAATTGTGCGATGCGAGGCACCGACGCGTCGCATTACCATGAAATTTGCATGCGGATCCCGAAATTCCGCAGAATTTCTTATGGAAGCGATAATGACGTTAATGTCTGAATTTTGAATCCCGCGTGTAAGTGTTCCGAAACTTCTGAAACCCTCCCCCCTCTCTTTCCTCTCGCTCCCTTTCTCTCTCTCTCCTCTTCATACAGTAATCGTTTGTATGATGGTTAGCATTATAATCCGCTAAAATTCGTCGTGAATTTACGAACAGCCGTTTTGCTTTATGAATTATGATGATACACCCAAGTAATACCTCGCATATAGTGTTTCTACAATATTATTCTATAATTCGCCAAAATACATATTAACCATCTAAAAGCGAAATGTATTAAACTCGCTTTTTGTAAATTTCTTAATTTTGAAAAACCAAGCATTTATTATGTGCTTTGGTGCTGAAATTTAGAAATTTGTAAAACACGAAATTGATTATTTTAGTTTCTGACAGGCTCATATTTAATAAATTCGCGTAAATATTTTGGCTAAAATTACAAAATTCCGAGTCTTAGAAAAATCTTCAATTCTCGATCGTTTTAATGTGACCGCTTTGTGTTCGTTTTCCGTAACTTCGAGGATCTTTCATTGTGAGACTCCGATTCCGTTTGTGTAATTCGCAATGCCACTTTTTCCACAGCACGATTATGAATCATAATGGATGCCGCGGCCTCGTATCGGACATTGATAAATAAAAGATGTAGTTCGCGTCGCGCGCGCGCTTTTCTTGAAACAGAAGTAAAAGCCTTAGCAGGTTTCCCGGGCTAAAAGCTTTCCGAAAGCAGTGCCATTTGTTTTACTTTCGCCCGGGCGATTACATGATAGATTATTCACGTAACTCCCCGGTATCAGAAAGGAGCGCGGAAGCCGCAGCATAAATCACAATAGACGGTGTCTTTGTTTTAAAAAGCCGTGCGCGCGCACAAACACCGGGCAATGTCGAACGAAATAAAATATATAATGCCCGCGTGTTCCCGACTTCGCCCGCCAGTGGTAGCCTGTTTTTAATTCAATGCACGCCGCTTTGTATTTTGCACATTGCACCTTCGAAGAAGGCTGACCGCGCGTTTCTTATGAAGCGACAACGGTGTCTCGCTTGCGTTTCTCGGATGAAAAATTACGAGCTCATCCTATTCATTTCATACAGGTTTAGTCATATTTAATATTTACTTGAAAACTGGCGAACGTCTCTAAATAATGAAAAAAAATGCGTTTGATTACCTTCGATACTAATATGCGATTATCGACCACAGGGTGATGTCTGTTTCATCAGACTACTCCACAGAGAATGCATCTACCAGGTCGCTCATTTCGCGTGCGATGACCTAGAGAAACCGCCGCAAACGTTCGTTTCCTTTCCGTGACGTGTATCGAGTCCCGTCTCGCGAATGACGTAACAATTAAGGAGCGATGGGCGAGCGGTGCGGGTTGCCGGTGGTGGGATTTAACGGCGTCGGGAATAATTTACAGTTCGCGTTGCTGTCGTCCGTAACGCGATTTCCATTCGGAAGCGACGGGGGAAAACGAAGCGACTAACGGTGGCAGAGAGACAACGAGGAGAGAAAAGAACGAGGTCGTCAACCGTTTCTTTTCGAGTCGTCCTCGTTTTCCCCCCTTCTCTTTCTTTCTCGTTACGATTTCACGTCGAAGATGAGGAAGAAGGAGAGCTCCCCTTTCCGAATCCCTCGATTTCATCATCGAGTCAATCGTCCTCGCGAGAACAATTACTTCCGCGAAGGATATAACTTTAACTCGCGAGTTTCAAGTTACCGCGTCCAACTGCAAAAATGTCCCGTCGACGGGACGTTCGAGTTACAAAAATAGTAATTATTTCCATCGATTAATTAATTTCTTACTTTTACTAAACGCTGCCGAGAGAAGAACGGAAAGCGAGGAACGGGAACATTTATTATTTACTGTGTCTGACAAGGTTTCCCAACACAATGAGTAATTCATGCGATTAAACAAGTGACGTTGTCAACGTGAAATGTGTCGTGTTACGCTCCCTTTTTTCGATAATTTCTGCGTAATTATACGCGCGCGCAGTAATTACATTATATGCACGGATTGTTTAAATGAAAATAAATAAATACACAAATGCTAATCCGGTCGCAAGTGAATAAATTTTCATTTTCAGCCATATTCTATACACCACGCGAAAAATTCAAACAATATATTCCGAAATNTTATTTGCCCCCCCCCCCCCCCCCCTTACTGGCGAACAAATGACAAAATATTTTGAAATATTCAATTTCTGCCTGACTAAAAATATTTTGCCATTTCTTTCGTAAGTATAGATTTCTACGTCCAGAAATATTTATTCACGTAAATTAATTATATCGCACTCAAGCGAGTCGAAATTTTGATTTTATATTAATCTTTCGAATTTTGTCGAACTCGAAGGGACAATCGATAATATATATATCTCTCAATATGTAACCAGGCTATTTCTTTTTAATACCTTTTTAATACGCGAATATTATTTACTGCTATTTTGCTGCAACCAGCTTCGTGGCAGCTATTTGCTTACTATTATCCCGTTAGTCGCAATTGCAAAAGAAAGAAAAACGCTAACATCGCGCTTGTTTGATAATAAAGAGGCCGCAATCGAACGAAGCGTCACCGAGAGATTATAAATTTACCGACCACCCTCTAGCCGGTAATGGATCCCCGCTCGTAACTTGCTATCGGATTATCGCGTTACCTCGCGTAATAGTAACAGCATTATCGAGAGATTTCTCCTCCTTCCTCCGAGTCGCGATTTCACGCGTAAACTGGCTGGCGCAGTTTGACGGGAAAATTCGAGCTCCGCCGAGTCTTTCCAGAAATCTAATTAGACTCTTTTAGCATTCGAGCTCTTGTATGCATTCGTATATATTTGCGAAATATTCTGCACTTTTCCCGATGTGCTTATATCTTAGCGTCTATGCTCGAAACACTCATCTATGAACTAAAAGTCATTTTCCTGTGTATCACAATAAAAACAATAGAAAATGTAAAGATTCATTAAAGTAAACTTTTAAAAGGGACATAAAATCAGAATTTTCATTCTGTTTCCGACGCGAAATGAAATTTTGCCCCACTTTCTCGAAATAAGCGGCTCTAACGACGAACGTATCCCGAGGATAATACACGCTCTTATCGCTAAGTATCCTCTTTGTTCGAATAATCAAACCTTCATGTTCTAAATTACTGGTTTATATTTGACGCGCCGAAGTCTCGTCGTCGGTCATTTTGAGCGAGCGCGTTGATTGGCTATAGACTCGCGTGACGTAATGAAATAATATTTTAAACTCTGACCGCGACACGTACCGTGTTAACCCGATTTCATCGCGATGTATCGGGATATTTTAAGAAGATTTCACCACCTTCCCTTTGTTCCTGGCGATGAAAACTGACGCAGACTGTTCTAAATCTATAGATTGACGAGACGAGCGCTGCAAATCGTGCTGATTTAAAGCAGCCTCGTGGAACGCGATTGGAAAATGCGAGAGAAGCTCCTAAAGCTCCAAGAATAACACTTCTACATTATTCAAGCGCTTTTATTCATTCTTCGTGGACTTAACATTACACATTATAATTAATATGCATTTGCGTCGGCGATATTTGGAGGCTTTATCGGCGCCGTCGAAAATCAACAGCATGTATGTTGCAAAATAATTAATTATAAGATTGATCGTATCCACTGATATTGTTGAGAGTTCTATAAGTGATTTAATGATCCAATAATTTGATGCTTTTTTTTTCCAGAACTGAT